GGGCCACGCACTTAGGCCTGGCGACTCTTGGCCCTCGAGGCGAAGAATCGAGAGATGTTTCTCCAAACATCGAGTTTCTTCGTCCTCGAGGACAAGAGTATTGCCCCGGAAATGCAGGCCCACGCCCCCACATCCTGGGAAAAGGGGCTTTCCCAGGGAAAAGGGGCTACTTAAGAGAGCCCCGAAAAAGGCACGAGCCCTTATGTCGTAGACCTTCTCTGCACGCGCATCATATAGTTTCCGGAAATGCAGGCCCACGCCCCCACATCCTGGGACTTTCCCAGGGAAAAGGGGCTACTTAAGGGAGCCCCGAAAAAGGCACGAGCCCTTATGTCGTAGACCTTCTCTGCACGCGCATCATATAGTTTACATTTGAAATTAGTTTTTAAGCATTACTGTTTAAATAAATATATTTTTGTTACCCACTTTGCGAGTAATCATTTGCACCACGTCACTTCCAAAATCGTATTTTACTTACGTTAGTTACATTAATTATTGTAAGACGAAAACGGCGAGATCGGCACAACGCTGTACGGTCAAGCGAGCGCGTGCGCGGGGGACAAAAACGAGCGTGTCTTTCATCGCGCGAAGTCGAGGTACGCGAGAGTGTACGAGAAGCGTGGTATAACCGCAGCCACGTGAAAAACGCGCGAGCTTGTAAAGACACCGAGAATTATCTCAATAAAGCTAAATCTAACAATTATATTTTTGTTGAGAAAAATACCGATATGAAAGTGTTCTTAATTTTGGCCAGAAAAAGTCGCCAGACCCACTCCAGATCACTGTGCGATGAGCGTTCGGCACCTCAATCTGCCGGCCAAACGTGATTATCGAATTTGACTGCGATAATCTGCCGGGATCGAAGCTACGTCACGTTACTTCGATGTCGCAACAAACTTAAGTTAAATGAAAAATGTAAAGAAAATAAATTTTTGAAAATTTCTGCAGAAAGTGGATACAAATCGTTCATCTGGTAACTGAACAATTAGTTCCTTCAAAATAACATTTAATTTAACTGACATATCATGCGCTCTTTTGAATTAATTTCATTTTTTCAGGAAGAATCATATTATATAAATGCTTTTTGATTCTTTCAATAATTGCTTTATTTGGAAATTTTACTTTTCCCTCTTATTCTCTTAGTTCGTTTCTTTTGGCATTATCCTATATTTAATGATCGAGACTAATCAGTCGCTATACATATATCTACAATCTTGATAGTGAATGTGTTATTTTTAGGAATTTATATATGTATCTCTAACTACAACTTTTATATATGTATTAAAAATGCTTAGCTTACTTTATATTACATAACGTAAAAGTACAGTACGTCCAAAATTCATTGTCAATCATTCTATAACGCTTGGGCAAAGTGAATCAACTATTGCGCACACTTGAGTTGCGCAACTGTGCTCTTTCATTTTTAAACATTAAATGTTGAAAATATTTAAAGAATCAAATACTAGTGTGTCCAATAAGTACATAGATTTATATTTACATGAATTTATCAATATTTCATCTCGTCCAATTTCTTTGCGCTATTACAAAACGTGTTCACTACTAAATTTATCTTAAATTTCCAACTACTGCAGTACTTAATTGCCAGATTTTTTGCTATATGATATATTCATAAATAAATAATAATTCATTCTAAATGTTCATACACATAGTAAAAAATTCAGCATACATAGAAATAACAATAAATATGAAATGTCGAGGCATTTGACAGATCCTAACTTGAAGTTACTTTTGCAATGAAGAAAATTGAATCATTCCTCAAAATCAAATTACAGTCTTCGTAGCAGATACTTTCCCTCTGACAAAAAGAACAGAATGTTCTGCGTAACGTGTGTATTGCCTCTATTATTAGAATTACAAAATAATATTCTCTTTGAAAATTATATTCCTGAGAAAATGTCAAAAATACTTTTCCCACAAAAAGAACATAATGAAAATTAATATTTTTAATCAAATTACTTCAATACACATAACATTTAACCTCTTGCGCTGGAAATTGATTTACGAAATTGAAGGGAGCTACAGTTGCTCTCATTTATATCTGGACACACTTTAGAACAGTATAACTTTTTTTTAATTGGACCCAATGACTTGAGAAGTTAAAAGGATTAGTATATTAAATAACGTGTACAAAAAATTTGGAAAAAATTGCAATTTTGGAAATCGCGAAAAAAATTGTAAAGGTCACTTTTTACAGCTTTTTTTATCTGAGCCCGTAATGAAAATTTAAAAAATAAGTTTTGTAGATATACATGTGTTGAAAGTTTCATCGAAAGCGCATTTTTTAAAATTTCATTACGCCCTCAGATTAAAAAGTTGTACAAAGTGACTTTTACAATTTTCTTCGCGACTTCCACAAATTGCAATTTTTTCCAAATATTTTGTATACGTCATCTAGTATACTAATCCGTCTAATTTCTCAAAAAAACAGCTCGAGTCGTTTGATCGAATTTTAAAAAAGTTACAATGTTCTAAATAGTGTCCGAATATTGAAAAACACTTTAGAAGCAGATAACTATGGACATGTGTCGCACGTCATTCCATCGCAGGAGATTAATTAAAAGTATCGAAACTCTCACAAATATTTCTTATAAAATGAAAATTTTTTTACCTCATGCTCTATCTGCATTTCCTTTAAAACTAAACGTACTATGTAAGAAATGGTTGTTGTCATTCTAAAAATAGAAACATTTTAAAATAAAATTGTATAAAGTAGCTTATAAACTGAAATTAGTGTTATGACTTTTATACTTCTTCAATCACGAAGTAACTTCATTTCACAATATATTAAAAATTAACACACTTCAAAAAGTAACACTAGAACGAATCAATATTAATCTTATGTTTAGTTAGGCTAATTTATCGTAATAAATATAATGTAAATAATTTTATGTACATCGCGTAATAATTAGGATGATGATGATGATGATGATAATGATAATAATAATAGTGATGATGATAATGATGATGATAGTAATAATAAAAGTAATAATGGTATATAAATCAGTCGTTTCTTCTAAAATAGTTAAGTAAGAAAACATTACATATCATTTTATGCACTAAAATTCCAGTTTAAAACACGTAAATTAAAGATTTTTAATTTCCATAGTTCAAATTCAACCTTCACGTTTTATATAAATTGCCGCTACCTTTTTTGTTTTATTCGTATAATCATGCGAGGAACTGGATCTGCGACAGCCCTGAAAACATCGATAAAAGAAAATTGTGGCAAAAATAGCATTTTTTTTTTTTTTTACATAATTTGAAAGCTACTGCAATTTGACTAATATATCATGATAAAGTAATTTTATTTTGTAAACACAGTCGCCGCGAAAACCAGAGTTACTCACAAAAGTATCCGCTCACCCTAGAAGTGCAATATATTTTACTTATTTAAGTAACGTTAAATTAAGAATTACCCATTATAATTACCATTAGTATAACCTTCGATTAATATATTGTAAATTAGAACGCATTTAACGCAAAAATTATACATTGATTCATTTTAAAAAGTACTGTTATTTGTGGAAGTGGCAGCAAAACACGCACAAAAGCATGCAACCTAAAAAAAAAAAGGGATTTGCACGGTGTTAAGTTGGAATGGCATCCAAAAGTGACTTCAGTTCTCATTGGGACGGTTGATAGAGTTGTGTCATTTTCAGGATTGATCTCTAAGGTCAGGGAGAACGAATTCGATAGAGGGCTAATACAGAAGGAATGGAGCGCGAAACCCGCTAAACTTTATGCTGATGAGTGGCAGCTACATCAGTGGTTGTTGTGGGCGCGTTATGAGAGCGGATCCTCAGCGACTCGGTATGTTGCTTGCAGCGCGAATACCATCTCCGTATGCAAATATTATCATGCTGTGCGAACAAGTGGCCCCTGCAAATGGACACGCCTTGTCGTGGCGCAGGGGCCAAGGGTCTGGGCAAGCCTAGACCTTTCTAAGGTATCCAACGTTATTGGCGAGCCAATGTGGGTTGTTGAGGGGCGTGAGCAGTGTGTATCGGACTATCCGACGCAGCATGCCATAGACCATGAAGCACCAAGTAGAGGGTCAAGCCTGATGTCTCTAGGCATTTATGTCTACATTCGTGGCAGCCGGAGGTTGGGAATTGGAACCGACGTGCTGGATCACTGTTGCGGGCGAAGGAGACACAGGCCGTCCTAGCGTTACGACGTCTAGGCGGATGATTGGTGTGGATTGTAGAGGGATGCTCGGGGTCAAACCCGAGTAGACCCCGCGGCGTGGAACCCGCGATCGCATAGCTGTTCACGTTCCAACAAAACAATATCTACAGTAACTCGTATCCTGTACCAGTGCACATTAAAGCCTCTGTGCACCTCAGGCACCCGGACTTAGCCGGGTGGGACTCAACGTCAGTGGGGGTTCGAAAGAATCGTGAGCTGACAGTATTCCAGGTATTAGGGAGCCAAAATGGCAAGGAAAGGAATGAATAAATAAGCGACTTAATTATAAAATCTCGATAAGGGTACAAATGACGAAAAAGAGATGGACAAGGAGGAAGGCGCAGGCCAACCTCCTTTTAGTTCTAGGCCTCAGGGACCGCGAGCGACAGCAGTCGTGAGAGGTACGGGATAGGTGATCCCGAGGTATCCGAAACCCCAAGTGCTCCAGTTAGCAAAATCGTGCGGAGCCCCACACCGTAAACTCTGACGATGCAACGACCCACTGAAGTCGTCTGCAATGGTAGTGGCGTTAGAGAAACGGGAGTCTTGCCTTAACCGGCTGGGCTGAGAGGATGAAAACCTCTCTAAAAAATCCTTAACCTTAAACTGCGGTACGCGGTGGTGGGGTACGTTCTTGTCGATGGCACCGGAACGTGGCTGGTGAGTGCATCAGTCCCTAGCGACCAAACTCCGGATACCTGGCGTCCTCCGGTGTAAAAGCCCTGCCCGGGTAAGGGGTGGCTCAACCTGGATCGACCTCATTTCCACCCAACTCGTGGGAACTATTAGGTTGATGCAAAAGGAATGTCGGTTTTTATATTGTTGAACTTTATCTTTGAAATTTTAATAAATTTGGAAATAAGTTTTGTCAATATATGCATATCATTTTAAAGCTTAGAATCTGCTCTTTATTTTTATTACAAATATTATATGATTTATCTTAATTATAGCTATATTTTTATCATTTTTAGCAATGCTAGACAAGAAGCAATTAAGAGCAATTTTTTTGTACGAGTTGAAACGAGGTCGAAAAGCGGCTGAGACGGCTCGCAATATCAACGAAGCTTTTAATCAAGATACTGTTAACGAACGTGCAGTACAACGATGGTTCGCTCGATTTCGTAATGGTGATGAGAGCCTTAAAGACGAAGAACATGGTAGTCGACCATCAGAAGTTGATGACGAACAATTGAAGACGTTAATCGAAGCTGACCCACTAAAAACCACACGAGAAGTCGCTGAGGAACTCAACGTTGACCAATCGACTGTTGTTCGTCATTTGAAGAAAATTGGAAAAGTGAAAAAGCTTGACAAATGGATTCCGCACGAATTGAACGAATCCCAAAAAAATCGTCGTTTCGATGTGTCATCGGCACTCATTCTGCGCAACAACAACGATCCTTTTCTCGATCGAATTGTAACCTGCGACGAAAAATGGACCCTCTACAACAACCGGCGACGTTCAGCTCAATGGTTAGACCATAATGAGGCTCCCAAGCACTTTCCGAAGCCAAAAATTCACCAAAAGAAGATCATGGTGACTGTTTGGTGGTCTGCGATCGGTTTTATTCATTACAGCTTCCTGAATCCAGGCGAAACCATTACGGTTGAAAAGTATTGTCAGCAACTCCAGGAAATGTACCAAAAACTTCGACGCATGTGCCCGGCAATGGTCAACAGAAAAGGTCCAATTCTTCTTCATGATAACGCTCGACCACACGTTTCAATGATGACGCGACAAAAGCTGCACGAGTTGGGCTATGAAACTCTGGACCATCCACCATACTCACCCGACCTCTCACCCACCGATTACCATTTTTTCAAGCATCTTGACCACTTTTTGCGCGAGAAATGCTTCAAAAACCAAGACGAAGCCAAGAACGCCTTCAACGCTTTCGTCACCTCCAGAACCCCGGAATTTTATGCTACCGGCATAAATAAACTTGTATCTCGTTGGCAACGTTGTACTAATTCTAACGGTTCTTATTTTGACTAATAAAACTTACAATAAAAAAGTTACGATCGTTTAAAGTTAAAGGTTAAAAACCGAGATTTCTTTTGCATCAACCTAATATTATGGATATTAATATTAAACCAAAATACAAATCGAAACGGAAGGAGAGGCGGAGGGAGGAAGGGGAGTCTTCGGATTCGGAGCATAGAACGAGCAGACGAGACTCCAAAGAGTCGACTTCGGCGACCTCCAAGTTGCCGAAGAAAGGACAAAGGATTGCCGGGAGCGAGGCTGCAGGGCAGCCCAGCAAACCGGGCAACCCAAGAGAATCATTGGAATCATTGAAAGTCCACAGGAAGGAATTGGAGGCCTTCCTGATGGACAAGACAATTAACATCGAACTAAGTTCTGTTAAGTTCATCCTGGGCAAGTGGTCGGAGCTGAAATCCGGCCTAGCCCAGAATTATCTTGAGACGGAAATCCTGAAAACCAGGATGACCGCTCTTGAAGAGAAAGTGAACTTGTTCACAAGCGTGAAACCAGTTCCACAAGCGGAAATTAACAAGAGCTACGCCGCAATGGATAGCAAAACCGCTGCCTCAGCGGCAAGACCACAACTGAGTCAGGTGCGGGAGCAAGCCCCTGTACCAAAGACCACAAAAAGGGAATATAAGAAATCGCAGATTGTGATTATCAAGCCTGCGATTTCCGATTCAAAAGATACTAGCGAGAGTGTGAAAGAGAAGATCTTTGAGGCACTCAAAAATAACAAAAAGAACCTACGAATAAAGCAGGTCCGCAATCTGTGATACTTCTGTTAAAAAGAAAGCCCTAACAACGAGATCGGTTCCCTGGTGGAATTCCGAAATAGATAGTGCAAGGAAAAGGGTTAATGAAAGCAAACATCTACAGAGGTGCAGGAGAATCGGCCTGATCAATCAAATAGCAACAGCCAAAGAAAACTATAGTCGCAGGCACAACGACTACAACAAGGTCATAAGGCAGAGCAAGAGAAAAGCTTGGGAAGACTTTATGTGTGACAATGCAAACAAAGATCCCTGGGGGATCGTCCGCAAGCTGGTCTGCGGCAAAATACGGACGAACGACGTGTTTAACACGCTAAAGGGAGATACCACAAGTACGAGGGTAGTCCCCGACCTGACGTATAGATGGCGGTTGTTTTTTGAAAAAAATGACTATCGTAGAAAATACCAACCTTATAAAGCTTAAGTTTGAAGTTTGACGACGCTACGTTGTTCAGTATTTGTCTGGCAGCCATCAACAGTGAACGCTCTCGGTGAATTTGTAAACATGGAAAAAATTGGTCATCGTTATGTGATACAATACTTTCATTTGAAAGGCCTCAGTCCAACCGATATCAAAGCGGAGTTAGATTCTACTCTGGGGGAGTCTGCTCCTTCGTTTACAACAGTAAAATATTGGGTGGCAGAGTTTAAACGAGGCCGTACGAGCTGCCAAGACGAACGTCGCAGTGGTCGACCAAATGAGGTGACCACGCCAGAAATGGTGAAGAAAATCCACAAAATGGTATTGGATGACCGTCGACTGAAAGTGCGCGAGCTAGCAGACATGGTAGGCATTTCAAAAAGTGCTGTACATCGCATATTGACTGAAAATTTGGACATGACAAAGCTGTGCGCAAGATGGGTGCCGCGTTTGCTCACGGCCGAACAAAAACAGCGTCGTGAGGATGTTTCAATCGAGTGTTTGGCGAAGTTTCACAGCAATAAAGCAGAGTTTTTGCGTCGATACATAACCATGGATGAAACATGGGTCCATCACTTGACACCTGAGACAAAGGAACAGTCAAAACAATGGACTGAAAGGGGAGAATCGGCTCCAAAGAAGGCGAAGACAGTTCCATCTGCAGGCAAG